TAGGCTGGGCACTGGCTCACACCTGTAATCCCAGCACTTTGAGAGGCCAAGGCAGGCAAATCATAAGATCAGGAGTTCGAGACCAGCCTGGCTGACATAGTGAAATCCCGTCTCCACTAAAAACAAAATTTAGCCAGGTTTGGTGGCATGCACACGTAGTCCCAGCTACTCAGGAGGCTGAGGCAGAAGAATTGCTTGAACCCAAGAGGCAGAGACCATGCCATTACACTCCAGCCTGGGTGACAGAGTGAGACTTCGTCTCAAAAATAAATAAATTTTTTGCCGGGCGTGGTGGCTCACACCTGTAATCCTAGCACTCTGGGAGGCTGAGGTAAGTGGATCACCTGAGGTCAGCAGTTCAAGACCAGCCTGGCCATCATGGTGAAACCCCATCTTAAAAAAAAACAATAAATAAATAAATAACCATATATATATATATATATATATATTTTTTTTTTTTTTTTTTTTGAGACAGAGTTTTGCTCTGTTGCCAGGTGCCAAGCTAGAGTGCAGTGGCGCGAGCTCAGCTCACTGCAACCTCCGCCTCCCAAGTTCAAGCAATGCTCCCAAGTAGCTGGGACTAGAGGCACGCACCACCACGCCCAGCTAATTTCTGTATTTTTTATGTAGAGACAGGGTTTCACCATATTGGCCAGGATAGTCTCAGTCTCTTGACCTTGTGATCCGCCCACCTCGGCCTCCCAAAGTGCTGGGATTACAGGCGTGAGCCACCGCGCCTGGCCAAAAATAAATAAATTTTTAAAAATACAGAAAAATTAGCCGGGGTGCGGTGGCTCACGCCTATAATCCCAGCACTTTGGGAGGCCAAGACGGATGGATCACGAGGTCAAGAGATTGAGACCATCCTGATTAACATGGTGAAACCCCGTCTCTACTAAAAATACAAAAATTAACTAGGCATGGTGGTGCGCGCCTGTAGTCCCAGCTACTCAGGAGGCTGAGGCAGGAGAATTGCTTGAACCCAGGAGGCAGAGGTTGTGGTGAGCCAAGATTGTGCCATTGCACTCCAGTCTGGGTAACAACAGCGAAACTCCGTCTCAAAAATAAAAAAATAAAAATACAGAAAAAAAAATCAATCAATAAAAACAAAACTAGGTTGTTCGGCAATAAGAGAGTCAAGGATTTTCCCTCTAACCTTCCTTCTCTCTTTCTGGGACATAATTTCTTTCCCATTCACGCCAATCAGAAACCCTTCAAAGACGGGCTGATGCAGGTACTCCACCATCCCAACTACAGATTGGGATGATATTAAACTAAATTGGCCAAGAGAGTGGGGGAAAAAAAAGAAGAGAGGATGCTGGCTTAGGGGTGGGGACCATAGGCAACAGCCCCCAGGTGATCATGGCTGCTCTACACTCCAATCACATATGTTAAACTCCCTCTCCACATTGGTCAGGTGAAAATGCAGATATGGAGACATGGGAGGTGGCTGGTAAAGCTCCTAGAAAGAAGAGCAGAGACTTTTCCAGTTCCCAGCATCTCCTGTGTGTGCCACTAGCCCAGTGACCATGGTGGGTATAGGGATGGGCAAGGATGAGTAAGGAGGCTTCAGGAAGAGACCTCCCAGGAGGGTCACACTATGCCATCTTGCAGCAAGTACCAAACTCTCTGGAGTCTGCTTCCACACGTTAACTCCCAGCCTGATCCAAAGCACTCTTCAAGGAAGGCATGCACATTGGACTGAGTGTGGCAATGGGTGTGAGCATTCAGCACTACCATCCTCACTGACACTCTACAGAAACGACAGGCCAAGAGAGGTAAAGAGACTCATCCAAAGCCACTCAAGACAATGGTGACCAAGCTTCTTGGATCCAAATCACCATCTGGAGCTCCTTCCATCACTCAGGAAAGACTCCAGCAGTGCTGGGCCTCATCCAATCAAGGCCTCAATCCTTCCCCATGCCACTAAGTTAGTGAACCCACAAACCTTTCCTGAGGATCTTTCCTGAAGGGTCTGCTTTAGAAACCTCCATTCCAACTACAATCTGCATCACACTGCTCACTGCTCTACTCCAGACTGCCTTTGAACACTACAATCATCAGCCCTTTGAGGTAAGGGGCCATTCTCAGGTTTCCAGAACTCCCTTGGTACTTATCAAAGTGCTAATCCCAGAGCAAATGAAATGTGGTCTGGCCAGGCACAGTGGCTCACGCCTGTAACCCAGCACTTTGGAAGGCCAAGGTAGGCAGATCACCTGAGGTCAGGAGTTCGAGACAAGTCTGGCCAACATGGTAAAACCTAGACTCTACTAAAAATACAAAAAAATTAACCAGGCATGGTGGTGGGTGCCTGTAATCCCAGCTACTCAGAAGCTGAGGCTGGAGAATTGTTTGACCCTGGGAGGCGGAGGTTGCAGTGAGCTGAGATCATGCCACTTGCACTCCAGCCTGAGACACAGAGCAAGACTCCATCTCGGGAAAAAAAAAGAAAAAGAAAAACAGGCCAGGCGCAGTGGCTCATGTCTGTAATCCTAGCACTTTGAGAGGCCAAGAAGGGTGGATCACTTGAGGTCAGGAGTTCGAAACCAGCCTGGCAAACATGGTAAAAACCCCATCTCTACTAAAAATACAAAAAAATTAGCCAAGTATGTTGGACACCTGTAATCCCAACTACTTGGGAGGCTGAGGCAGGAGAATCACTTCAACCTGGGAGGCAGAGGTTGCAGTGAGCCAAGACCACGCCACTGCACTCCAGCCTGGGTGACAGAGAGGCTGTATCTCAAAAAAAAAAAAAAAAAAGAAAAGAAATGTGATCTGGCTCTTGGATTTCTATTTGCTGCAAGCAAAAATTCTAGAACCTTAGAAATGTTGAAGAGGCCAGATCAGCCTAAATCAAAGCCACACTCTTTGGACACCCTGTAAATGTCCTCAACAATGAAGGAAGTCTGTTTGAGTTTTTACAGATTCTTTTTTTTGTTTTTTGAGACAGAGTCTCACTCTGTCACCAGGCTGGTGTGCAATATCTGCCTCCTGGGTTCAAGTGATTTTCCTACCTCAGCTTCAAGAGTAGCTGGGACTACAGGTGCATGAACCACCTGTAGTAGAGATGGGGTTTCAACCTGTTGGCCAGGATGGTCTCAATCTCTTGACCTCGTGATCCGCCCGCCTTGGCCTCCCAAAGTGCTGAAATTACAGGCATGAGCCACCGCACCAGTCCTGAATTTTACAGTTGTTTTTTTTTTTTTTTTAAGACGGGGTTTCACCATGTTGGTCAGGCTGGTCTTAGAACTCCCGACCTCAGGTGATCCGCCCACCTTGGCCTCCAAAGTGCTTGGATTACAGGTGTGAACCACTATGCCCGACCGAATTTTACAGGTGATTTTTGTTTTTGTTTTTTTTTTTTTGAGACAGAGTCTTGCTTTGTCGACAGGCACCAGGCTGGAGTGCAGTGGCGCAGTCTTGGCTCACCGCAACCTCTGCCTCCCGCGTTCAAGCAATTCACCTTCCTCAGCCTCCAGAGTAGCTGGGACTAAAGGCATGCACCATCACACCCAGCGAATTTTTTTGTATTTTTAGTAGAGACAGGGTTTCACTATGTTGGCCAGGATGGTCTCGATGTCTTGACCTCGTGATCCGCCTGTCTCAGCCTCCCAAAGTGCTGGGATTACAGGCATAAGCCACCGCACCTGGCATTTTACAGTTCTTATCTGAACTCCAAAGCTTGTTCACAAGCTGCCAAACCTAGCCCCATTTGTGGAGAAAGCCAGGGGCCCAGGGGCAGGGAGGAAGGATGGATCCTGAAACAATTTCCCGGCCAGAGAGGCAGGGTCTGTGAATGTCTCCCAGGCAAGGACTCATAGGCACCCTGGCCTCTCCAATACAACTCAGTGATGTATTGGAGTGGCTCATGCCTGTAATCCCAGCACTTTGGGAGGCCGAGGCAGGCAGATCAGAGGGTCAAGAGTTCAAGACCAGCCTGGCCAAGATGATGCTTTTTTCTCCAAAGGAAAGCTTTATAACCAGTCACCTGTAAAGATCTCTATATTCTACTGCCACGTTTTGAAAAACTGCCTGCCAAAATGAAGTAGGTAGCAATTTCTCAATAATTCCAGAAATAAGGCTAGATGTAGTGCCTCCCGCCTATAATCCCAACACTTTGGGAGCTGGGGCAGGAGGACCACTTGAGGCCAAGAGTTTGATACCACACTGGGCAACGTAACAAGACCTGGTCTCTACAAAAAAAAAAAAAAGTGCCAGGCACGGTGGATTACGTCTGTAATCCCAGCACTTTGGGAGGCCGAGGTGGGTGGATCACGAGGTCAAGAGATCAAGACCATCTTGGTCAACATGGTGAAACCCCGTCTCTACTAAAAATACAAAAAATTAGCTGGGCAGGGTGGCACGTGCCTGTAATCCCAGCTACTCAGGAGGCTGAGGCAGGAGAACTGCCTGAACCCAGGAGGCAGAGGTTGCGGCGAGCCGAGATCGCACCATTGCACTCCAGCCTAGGTAACAAGAGGAAAACTCTGTCTCACTCTGTCGCCCAGGCTGGAGTGCAATGGCGCAATCTCAGCTCACTGAAGCCTCTGCCTCCCGGGTACAAGCGATTCTTGTGCCTCAGCCTCCCAAGTACCTAGGATGCCTGGCTAATTTCTGTATTTTCAGTAGAGACAGGTTTTCACCATGTTGCTCAGGCTGGTTTCAAACGGTCTGTCTCATCCTCTCTACAAAAAATTTTTTAAAAATTAGCTTGGTGGGGTGCTGTGTGCCCGTAGTCTCAGCTACTCAGGAGGCTGAGGTGGGAGAATCACATGAGCAAGGGAAGGCAAGGTTGCAGTGAGCTATGATTATGCCACTGCACTCCAGCCTGGGTAACAGAGTGAGATACAGACCCTGTCAATGCACCTGGGGTTCTTCCAAAATCCCAACGCTCAACTCAGAAATACTTGCTGAATTCCTGCTGTGGGTCAGGAACTCTGCCAGGGGTTCTGACAAACAAAAAGAAGGCAGCCATAGTCTCTACTTCTCAAGGAACTTACAACCTGATGGTTCCACACCAAGAGTCCCTTGATCCATGACTCTTATGATGCCCTGAGAGGCCATTTCAAGGCTGCAACCTGGAAAGAAAACTTTCTCCCAGCAAATGAAAACATCACATTTTTCTACCTTAGCATCACAACAGACACCATGGCAACAGAGGGCTGTTCCAAGAATTAGCTCAGTGATGACCTAGCCAACACAAACTGGCTTAATACTCACTAAGATTCCTGGAAAGAAAGGGAGTTCAAATAAGTAAGTCTCTCTCTAGCTGTCAACAAACAGAACTGCTTCCTTTCTTCCAGGGCTGTACTTCTTCTCTCAGAAATTTTTCCCCATGCCAAAATATACACAGAGAATGACAGAATGATACTATTATATAACACCCTGAAGTCAATGGAGACAGCTGTTCTCAACTATCCTGAAGCTTAAGGGTCGACACTCTGGGCACACCTATAGCCCATTCACATCATACAGTTGGGAAGTTGTGAAGAGCCTCTAAGTTTGCCCATATCACACACGCACGCTTTCCAAGTAAAATAGAAGGCCAAACCAAAGTCTCACTCATTTCACTATGAACTTGTGATTGATAGAGAGTTCCAGCACCTACTTCAGATTTCACAGACACTAGGATCTACAGGGGCATTCTGTTCTAGATGCCAAGCAGACGTCTGAGGTGAAGAGCAACTGCAGCTCAGTGTCAGATGCAAACAGGTTTCCTGAAGACTGTAGTTTTCCCAGCTCATTCATACAACTTAACAAGCGCAAAACTACAATTAGACCTAGACAATGTGCTAGGTAGCAAACCTACCCCTTAGTGAGTCAGCATTCCAAATCTCTTCTAGGGGTATGGCCAACCAAATCTACCCTGATTAGAAGCACAGTACTGCAGAAGGCTGAGGCAGGAGAATCACCTGAAACCAGGAGGCAGAAGTTGTGGTGAGCATAGATGGCATTGTTGTACTCCAGCCTGGGCAACAAGAGTGAAAATCCATCTCAAAAACAAACAAAAAAGAAACGCAGTATTGTCAGTTTTCCCTAATGACCAGAAATGACCTTGAGGAAATCATATAATAAAAAACCCAGGAGGCGAAGGTTGCAGTGAGCCGAGATTGTGCCATTGCACTCCAGCCTGGGTAACAAAGAGCGAAACTCCGTCTCAAATAAATAAATAAAAGCAGCTTCCCACACACAACTAAGCCTGAAGAACAAACAGGCTTATTAGGACAAGCCCTTCTGGCAGGCACGGTGGCTCACACTTGTAATCCCAGAATTTTGGAAGGCTGAGGTGAGTGGATCACCTGAGATTAGGAGTTTGAGACTAGACTGACCAGTACAATAAAACCTCGTCTCTACTAAAAATACAAAAATTAGCCGGGTATGGTGGCGTGTGTCTGTAGTCTCAGCTACTCCGGAGGCTGAGACAAGAATTGCTTGAACCTGGGAGGCAGAGGCTGCAGTGAGCTGAGCTCACGCCACTGCACCCCAGCCTGGGTGACAGACCAAGGCCTTCTTTTGACAAGAGAAACTCTGGTAAGAGAAGCCATTAGTTCCATTAACCGAGTGTCAACTATGCTAAGCATCTTATATGTACCATCTCAGCCCTCTCTACAAGCACATGTAGTAGGCATGATTATTCCTATTCTGGAATAAGGAAGTTAGGACTTAGCCTCAAGATTTCAGAAAAGCCAGAAACTGATCCAAGTCTTTCTGACACCAAAACCCGTAATTCTAGGAATGAGACCACAACAGGAGTCCACACGGCAAGCCCTTCTTACTGGACAAAAGAGACAACAGTGTTCTTAGGCAATGACAAAGATCTTCAACAAGGAAGCACAGTAAAGTTACCTGGGAATTTTTTTCAAAATACAGATTCCTGGCTGGGTGCAGTGGCTCATGCCTGTAATCCCAGCACTTTGGGAGGCCGAGGTGGGTAATGACAAAGATCTTCAACGAGGAAGCACAGTAAAGTTACCTGGGAATTTTTTTCAAAATACAGATTCCTGGCTGGGTGCAGTGGCTCATGCCTGTAATCCCAGCACTTTGGGAGGCTGAGGTGGGTGGATCACCGAGTCAAAAGTTCAAGACCAGCCTGGCCAATATGATGAAACCCCATCTCTTCTAAGAATACAAAAATTAGCCGGCCGTGGTGGCACGTGCCTGTAATCCTAGCTACCCTGGAGGTTGAGGCAGAATAATCGCTTGAACCCAAGAGGCAGAGGCTGCAGTGAGCAGAGATCGCGTCACTGCACTCCAGCCTGAGCAACAGAGCAAGATTCTATCTAAAAAAAAAAAAGACAAAATACAGATTGCTACCCCAGATCTTTATCAAAATCTGAGTGGGCCAGGTGCAGTGGCTCACGCCTATAACCCCAAAACTTTTGGAGGCCAAGGTGGGAGGACTGCTCGGGTCCAGGAGTTCGACACCAGCCTGGGCAACATGGCGAGACCCATCTCTGTTTATTTTTTTATTAAAAAAAAAAAAAGACGGGATTTCACAATGTTTGTCAGGCTGGTCTTGAACTCCCGACCTCAGGTGATCCTCCAGCCTTGGCCTCCAAAGTGCTTGGATTACAGGCCTGAGCCACCATGCCCAGCCCCATCTCTGTTTAAAAGAAAAAAAATCTCAGCCAGGTGCAGTGGCTCACACCTGTAATTCCAGCACTTTGGGAAGCTGAGGCAGGTGAATCATTTGAGGTCAAGAGTTCGAGACCATCTTGGTCAACATGGTGAAACCCCCGTCTCTACTAAAAATTCAAAAATAAGGCAGGTGTAGTGGCGCTTGCCTGTAACCCCAGCTACTCCGGAGACCGAGGCAGGAGAATCACTTGAACCTGGGAGGCAGAGGTTGCAGTGAACCAAGACGGTGCCTTTGCACTCCAGCCTGGGCAAAAATAGCAAAACTCCATCTCAAAAAAAAAAAAAAAACAAAATCTCAGACAGTGAGGCTCTTGAATTTCTATCACAAAGTTACCCCAGGAGATTTTGGACCATCTAGGTTTAAGAGGCTGTACCACCTACCACACACATATGCTTGCATTTGCTATCCTCATCTCAGATCCTAGCCCTGATAGGTGCTCAGTAATACAGCTGAGTTTGTATCCATTCATAAGTCAGCAACCTACTGACTTATGTGCCAGACACAGAGCCAGACATATGCAGAGAGATCACCATGTGACACTACAGAATGAACTCAATAGTAGCAGCATGGATATAGAGGAGTTAATGGTTACATGTGAAGTAAAGGCGATTTTTTTCCTAGGAAGTGACATCTCTGGTGGCTTTTATAGGACAGATATAAGTTTACAACACTGGAAGGTGGTGGTGGTGGTGGCGGGGGGTTGGGGGGTGGGGGGCGGAAGGCAGGTATTGCAAACTGAGAAAACTGTGTATCTAAAGCACAAGGGGACCAACCACAGTGGCTCACCCCTGTATTAATAATCCCAATACTTTGAGAGCCTAGGCAAGAAGGTTGTTTGAAGCCAGTCTTGGCAACAAAGCGAGACTCCCAGGCTCTACAAAAAATTAAAAACTTTAGCTAGACGGGATGGGACACACCTGTTGTCTCAGCTACTCAGGAGGTTGAGGCAGAAGGATCACTTGAGTCCAGGAGTTCAAGACTGCAGTGAGGTATGAATAAGCCATTGCACTCCAGCTTGGACAAAAGAGACATTGTCTCAAAATTAGTAATAATAGAGCACTAAGGTATGAAACCACAGAGCTAACAGTAGGGCCACATGCTTTAACAATAAACTATATAAAGGGAGCACAGAAGTGCTCTGGTGCTTATTGGCTGGTTAGGCCTTCACCAGATTATGAAGAGCCCTGAATGCCTTGCTAAGAAGTGTGGCCTTTGGGCCGGGCGTAGTGGATCACGCCTGTAATTCCAGCACTTTGGGAGGCTAAGGCGGGTGGATCATGAGGTTAAGAAATTGAGAAAACCATGGCCAACATGGTGAAACCCCATCTCTACTAAAAATACAAAAATTATCTGGATGTGGTGGTGCGCGCCTGTAGTCCCAACTACCAAGGAAGCTAAGGCAGGAGAATCTCTTGAACCCGGGAGGCAGAGATTGCAGTGAACTGAGATTGCACCATTGCACTCCAGCGTGACGACAGAGTAAGACTCCGTCTCCAAAAAAAATAAAGGCTGGCCTTTGTCCTGAAGTCACTAAGGAACCAGTTTCAGGCAGTAAAGAGCTTATTCAGATTTTCGGGTGGGAATTACCACTTCAGCCGCTTTATGGAGGGAGACTAAGTGTGGGGGGGCCAGGTTTCTCCTTGCAGGTAGAGGAATGACAAGCTTGCCAAACAGGCAACCCAGCTGGATTCAGATCTGCTTTTCCCCAGCCTGCACAAGGAAGCAATCAGCTGGCCCGCCGGCCCCTGGCAGACGCAGAGGAGGAGCCAGACGCCAGAAGACAGTAAGAACAAGCGGGTTGGATAAATCTGACCCGCTCTGGACGCGGGGCGGCTGAACAGCAACCAGGCAGGGCAGCCGAGCACGTCCACCAGGCCCACGCGGGCCTAGAGACGGGCTACTCAGCACAACAGCACGTTCCGAGGCCAGTCCAGACTCGGACGCCGCGGACCCCGAGCAGCCATCGCCCGGCCTGCTCTCCGACCCTGGAGGCCCTGGCGCACTGGGCAAAGGCCGAGGCTACGGGCTGACCAGGGCAGGCCCCTGTGCGCCAGAAAGCGACCACGGCCACAGTTCGGCTGCCCCTCCCGCCCGTCGGGCCGTCGCCCTGGGCCGGGCCGCCTCACCTCGCGCGGGCGGCGGGCTCTTCGGCGTCTTGGCGGCTCTGCGGCCCATCTCCAGACAGTGGCCGCGGCCACCGCCGCCGCCACCGCCACCGCCGCCGCCACCGCCATTCTCGGGCGTTAGCGTCTTGGCGTCATCACAGCGCGCGGCTGACGCCAAAACAAACCTACAGGGCGGGACGGGGGCGGATTCTCCCGAAGTCGGGCTACCCGGTTGGCGGATCTCCGAGCGTGGTCTGCCAATCAACCTCTTCGGGGCGGGGACGAGCACTCTCCTGAGGCGGTGGGTCTATTTGTCGCTCAAAGTAACTTGACCGCTGCCTGCGGGACCGATCGCTGATAGGAAGAGGAGGAATCAAGGGACGTGGGGAGAAAGATTTAAGTTTCTGATTGGGGGAAAGGGACTGTAGTGTGAGGTTGGGTAAACAATGCTTTCCAACAGAGGTTTCTGGAAGTGCTTCCGGAACTCCGCAAAGGATTGACTTAAATTTCATTAACAAAATCTATTTTTTAAAACTGCAATTAGGATAATTTTAGACACTCCATGTGTTGAATTTGGCCTCCATCAAAGAAGAGTTGCAAATGGTTAACTGGTGAATTGGTGAAGTCAATCTTGGGCCAACTTCTGGAATCATGGTTATTTGTTGTTTTTTAATTTAATTTATATCCCGAGTCTGAAAAGCAAACGAATTTTTAAAAAATTGTCACCATTCACAATGACCTCTATAGGATGAGAACGGGTTCACTTTACAATCAACCCAACTTGGAGGAAGAAAAATAGGTGCTGCAGACGGTAAGGGTATTGTAACCTCCATCCATCTTCCCCATTTCAGTGGCTCATGTATTCAAATCTTTATTGAGTGTGTACTTTGCACATGAAACTGTCTTTGATTGTATAAGCTAGTGTTATACTTTAAACATAAAAATAGGCCGGGTGCGGTGGCTCACGCCTATAATCCCAGCACTTTGGGAGGCCGAGGCAGGTGGATCACGAGGTCAAGAGATTGAGACCATCCTGGTCAACAAAGTGAAACCCCATCTCTACTAAAAACACAAAAATTAGCTGGGCATGGTGGCGCGCGCCTGTAGTCCCAGCTACTTGGGAGGCTGAGGCAGGAGAACTGCTTGAACCCAGAAGACGGAGGTTGGGTGAGCCGAGATCGTGCCACTGCACTCCAGTCTGGGTAACAACAGCAAAACTCGGTCTCAAACATACATACATATATTAAAAAATAAAATAAATTAACATCAATAAAACATTGTCGTCAGCCCAGCACAGTGGCTCATGCCTGTAATCCCAGCACTTTGAGAGGCCAAGGTGGGTGGATCGCCTGAGGTCAGGAGTTCAAAAGCAGCCTGACCAACAAGGTGAAACCCTGTCTCTACTAAAAATACAAAAATTAGAATTAGCCGGGTATGGTGGCAGGCACCTGTAGTCCCAACTACTCTGGAGGCTGAGACAGGAGAATAGCTTGAACCGGGGAGGCAGAGGTTGCAGTGAGCCGAGATCACCACTGTACTCCAGCCTGGGCGACAAGAGCAAAACTCTGCCTAAAAAAAAAAAAAAAAAATTGTTTCCTAGGATCTTAGTGGTAAAAAAAAAAAAAAAAGTTAAAAAATATTTCTAAAAGTCTAGTGTGATAATTAAGGGTATAGACTTTGGGGCCAAACATACGTGAGATCAAACCCCAGTTCTGACACTTCCACAGCTGTTTGACTTTAAGAAAGACATCTGCCTCATCAGCTTTTTTTTTTTTTGGCCAGGCTGGTCTTGAATTCCTGACCTCAGGTGATCCAGTGGCCTCAGTCTCCCAAAGTGCCAAAGTGCTGGGATTACAGGCATGAGCCACTGCGCCTGGCCTTTTTTTTTTTTTAATAGAGACAGGGTCTTGCTCTGTCGTCCAGGCTGGGATCAAAGCTCACTGTAACCTCAAACTCCTAGGCTCAAGGGATCCTCCTGCCTCAGCCTCCCAAGCAGCTGAGTCTACAGGCACACACCACCATGCCTGACTTATTTATTTTTTATTTTTATTTATTTTTGAGACAGAGTCTTGCTTTGTCACCAGGCTAGAGTGCAGTGGCACGATCTCTGCTTACTGCAACCTCCATCTCACGGGTTCAAGTGATTCCCTTGCCTCAGCCTCCTGAATAGCTGGGACTACAGGCGGGAGCCACCATGCCCAGCTAATTTTTTTATTTTGATAGAGACAGGGTTTCACAATGACCAGGATGGTCTCAATCTCCTGACCTCGTGATTCACTTGCCTCGGCCTCCCACAGCATTGGGATTACAGGTGTGAGCCACCACGCCTGGCCCTATTTTTATTTTTTTGAGACAGAGTTTCACTCTTGTTGCCCAGGCTGGAGTGCAATGGTGAGATCTCAGCTCACCACAACCTCCACCTCCCAGATTCAGGCGATTCTCTGGCCTCGGCCTCCTGAGTAGCTGGAATTACAGGTATCCACCACCATGCCCGGCTAATTTTCTATTTTTAGTAGAGACAGGGTTTCTCCATGTTGGTCAGGCTGGTCTCAAACTCCTGACCTTAGGTCATCTGCCCACCTCAGCCTCCCAAAGTGCTGGGATTACAGGTGTGAGCCACTGTGCCCAGCCTGTTTATTTATTTAGACAGGGCCTCGAGTGATCCTCCTACTTTAGCCTCCCCAAGGTGTTGGGATTACAGGCATGGATCACTGCATGGGGCCCTAAGCCTGATTTTTCCTGGCTATATAATGAGGATGGCCCAGTGCTTGTAATCTCATCACTTTGGGAGGCTGAGGCAGGAGGATCACTTGAGGCCAAGAGTTTGAGACTAGCCTGGGTAACATACTGAGACCCTGTCTCTGCAAAAATATAAAATAAAAATAGCTGGGTGTGGTGGCACACACCTACCGTCCTAGCTCCACAAGGGGCTGAGGCTAGAGAATTGCTTGAGCCCAGGAGGTCAAGGCTGCAGTGAACCTGGATTGGGTTACTGCACCCCAGCCTGAATAACAGAATAAGACTTTGTCTCTAAAAATTAAATAAAATATAAGGGGGGGGGTCATAATCCTGACCTTAAAGAGTTGTGAAAGTTTGCCGGGTGCGGTGGCTCATGCCTGTAATCCCAGCACTTTGGGAGGCCAAGGTGGGTGGATCACGAGGTCAAGAGACCAAGACCACCCTAGCCAACATGGTGAAACACTGTGTCTACTAAAAATACAAAAATTAGCTGGGCGTGGTGGCACACGCCTGTAGTCCCAGCTACTCTAGAGGCTCAGGCAGGAGAATTGCTTGAACCCAGGAGGCGGAGGTTGCAGTGAGCCGAGATCGTGCCACTTCACTCCAGCCTGGCGCCTGGCAACGGAGCAAGACTCTGTCTCAAAAAAAAAAAAGAGCTGTGAAGGTTAAAAGTAATATGAATTCCAGGGTTGATGACACTCAGAAATCCACACAACATTCCTATTTTACAGACATTCAGCTAATTAAGAGATATTTATTGAACCCTTACTATGTTCAGGTGTTGGTCTAGGCTCTGGAGAAGAGCAAGAGGGAGGCCCTGAGGTGAAGAGATATACGAATGGAGAGGGGACTGGGCCCAGGACATCCATCCCCCAGGCTCTCTCAGAACAATAAGCTACTCCTTGTCCACAGTGCTGCAAATGTGAGAAACACCATCACCATGATACTCTGGCCTGGGCAGCTGTGCCCAGGGCCCAGCTAGCTTGGCTATCAGCCCACCCCTCTCCCCCAGCTCTAGGATAAAACGCACAAAGCTCTTAAGCCCCTGGCCAGAGAGCAGATTCTTTTCCCCCTCCCTAAGCCCCCCTCTATTCCATAGAAGAGTAGGGCCTTAGGGAGCAAAAACCTGGGGAAAAGTAGGTCACAGCAGGAGGATGGTAATCTCCCTGATGGTTGGCCAGAACAGTCAGGCCCCTGCTCCTGGCCACCCAATACCAGCTCTGAAAGACTTCTGGGGTATATAGCCCCAGCACCATCTTCCCAGCAGTATGCCCAGGGTGAAGGTGCCACCCAAAGATGACACACCTCCACACTGGGTCATTCTCAGTCCAAGCTCTTGATGACTATAGCACTACCCGTGCTGGACTTTCATTCCACAACCTCCCACAAGTACACCCTTTATATCCAACCCGAGGCTGGATGCTAGAGACACAATGAGGATTCTGAAAAAAAGGACTTCCTGCACTTGGAGAGTCAACAGTGGGGAATTCTGGCCCGTAACTAGACAATAACAAGCTAGTGCTATCAGTATTGAGGCAGAAGAGAATCCAGGAGCTGTGTAGACCTAGAGGAGGCTTCTGATTCAGCTTGTAGTCAGGGTTAAGGAATAGTGTTCTGGAGGAGATGACACTGCAAGCATGAGCCACAGTGTCTGGCTGAGTTTTTCAATTTAGAAAGTAAGGAATAAGGCCAAACATGGTGGCTCATGCCTGCAATCCCATCACTTTTGGAAAGGGGTTGGATCACCTGTGGTCAGGAGTTCGAGACCAGCTTGGCCAATATGGCAAAACCTGTCTCTACTAAAAATACAAAATTAGCCAGGCGTGATGGCAGGCACCTGTAATCCCAGCTGCTAGGGAGGCTGAGGCAGGAGAATTGCTTGAACCCTGGGAGGTAGAGGTTGCAGTGAGCCAAGATCATGCCACTGCATTCCAGCCTGGCCAACAAGAATGAGGCTCCATCTCAAAAAAAAAAAAAAAAAAAGAATATAGTGGAGAGAGTGATAATAGAATCAATGAGGAGACGAAGACAGTATCGCTGAAACTGTGTGTGATGGCTTGGAATAGGATCCTGGCAGTGGTGGGAGAAGGCTGATTAGAAGAGGGCCCCACCCCAGAAGGCCTCCTCCTTCCTTGGATTCTGCCTGATTTTGCTCTTCCTTTCCACCTGTATGAAGAGGGGCTCCTCACACACCACATGCTCTCATTACATGGCTTCCAGAAAGCCTTCTGCAATTGTTTTGACTGCACACTGCCTACCTCTTCTCAAGGAACAAGCTTGTGGAGAGCAGAGGCCAGAGGAACCCTTATGTTGACTCCAGTTTTTGCCACTTCAGGTCACATCAGGGGCTTGAACATGGACTTCAACAGAGGCTCCCCACCTTCTAGAACAGGCCTCTCTTAGATAGACCAGAAACCCAGAGGAAGGGACTGAGCACATAGTTTGTGCTGTCCCTTGAAGGCTGAAGTGACAGGCAGAGGGAGGAGGAGGTGAGATGGTCAGGAGCAGGAGGCTGGGGAGGGGGTTGAGCTGGGATCAAGGGTACTCAACCCCTCAGATCTGGCCCCCAGGGGCCAGGATAGAAGGGGTAGGCAGTGCTAGAAGTGCAAGGCTGAGACCCCACCCTCCCAACCCCAGCCAGCACAGGATGGTAGAGGAAAACTATGTATTCTGGCAGATCTCCAGTCTCCACCGGAGAAGCTCTTGGGACCTGCATGAAATGGAAAGCTTTGGGCTGCCACTGGGAAATGAGTGTTTATAAGAAGATTGAGTCCCCTGTGATGGCCTTCAGCCCTGCCCATCCCATCCAAGCTGAGGATCAGTTTCTGGGAGTCTCCAGCCCCAGCCAAGCAAGGCCGCAGCTGGGAGAAAGGAAGGAGCTTAGTACAAATATAAATACCTTTAATGGAAAGCCCTGCTGCGCTCTGCAGAGCCTGGACAACCACCGCCAGAGCAGGACTGGAGGCCTGGGCACTGCCACCTGACCCGACAGGCTAGGACAGAAGCCCCAGGAGGTAGGCCAGGGCCAGAGCAGCCACCAGCGGCAGGGGTGCAGGGACAATGGGGAGTGCAGGCGCTGTTGCCCTCAGTGTCTCCTGGTTGGTTTCGGAGCCTGTGCCGCACTCCTGAACACGCACTGGGGCGCCGCACAGTGTGTGCAAGTTATTCGGGTGGGGGGCCCGGCGAGCTTCTTGCTGTAGTGACTCCCACACTGCAGCTGCCTCCTCCGGACAGCCTGACAGGACCTGAGAGGCACAGGCATGGAAGTCATTCCAAGACCTGTTAAGGGAGTGGGATTAGGGGGATTAGGTGAGGCAAGGAGACTCTGGCTTGGGAAATAAAAAGTCAGTCCCCAATGGTGGCACAGGTTGGGCCACTGCCTCATACCCACCAGTACCTGCAGATGGTCTCCAGCTCGCCTCCTCGGCCCATGCTGTCCCCTAGGCGGATGAGACACTCAGCAAAGCCCTGGTATATGGTGTCACAGCGGTTTGGGCCTGCTGCAGCCGCTGCCAGGGGAGGTACAAAGACTAGAAGTGGGGCAGGGGTGGGGTGGGGGGGTAGACCAGTAGATAGGATGAGCCAGGTTCATCCCCCAGCCCCCAGGGGCTTGTTTACCTGGGAGCACTCGGGGGATGTGACTCAATGGGAAAAGGGTGCCCGAGGGAACTAAAGGGCAAGTCTGGGGATTACCTACCCAGGCCCTCTTCAAAGTTAGGAACCAGACTGGGATTTGTACAGGGGGAGGGAGTGTTGTGTCCCCCAAGTCAGCTCTTCCTCTGAGCTTCTGGGGCCCCAGGTGAGGTGAGAAGGGTCCATGTGAAGGAGTTAAGACAGGGTGGAGGGGAGGGGGATCCAGAGGACCAGGACCAGGGACAGGTGCATCTCTCTGCAGTTTAGACAAGCTTTGCTTGGCCCTGTGAACTCTCCAAAGATAGTTATTTTTTGGAGAGACAGGGCAGGATGAAGAGGTATTGGGATCCAGGCCAGACCCTCAGAAAGGACTTAGGGATCCTAGGGCTGGTCTATAAGTCCTGCCATTGGCATGGCTCCCCTTATCAGAAGAGGGGATGCAAATTTTGGAGTCCTTCTCCCATAACTGGAGCTGTTTGTACCTCTGACTTTCTGTCCTGAAGTCACCAGCACACCTTCCTGGAGCCCTTGCAACTCTTTTCCACCCTGGGGCCTAGCATTCCCACACACCCTATACCTGGCCTGGCCTGGCTGGGCGAGAGGAGGTGTGGCCTGGGCCCCCAGATGCCCACACTCACCGAGGGGCAGCAACAGCAGCGGCCTCAGGGCACGGGGTGGTTGCCAGCAGCGGCGGCAGCAGTGGCAGCGGAGCATCATCCCTGGCTGAGAGCCTAGTGCGGGAGCTAGCTGCGAGGAGTACAGCCCATCCACCCAGCCCCCAGAGGAAGGGATGGTGATTGGATGGGAGCCGGGGGTGGGGCTCCAAAGCCAGCCAGCGGCTCCGCCTCCAATACCCAGATTGGTAAAGGAGCGAAGGGACCTGAGAGAGCAGAAATTCCCAGGGGCACAGGATGGTGCTGAGCAGGCCCCTGGACCCTCACCCTCATAGAAGGAGAAGGTAAATCTGGGAAGACAGTTGGAGTAGATGAGTAGGTAACCCGGCCCTTTGGCTGGATTGGCGTATACAGAGCTCCATGGGGAAGAGAAGGGCAGGGAACAGAGGGCAGTTATGAGAGTCACACCGAAGACAGACCAAAAGCACACACATACTTCATTTTATTCCAAAAGCATTTAATTGAATTTCTCAATGTTTTTCAAAAACAAATAGATCCAAATCAGAGGTAAAAAGGAACATGGAAAATTCCACTCAAGTGGTGTCACGATCTCAGGGTCATGCTCCAGGCATGGCAGAACCCAAGAAGGCTCAATACCTGCCCTGGGCCCAGCCTAAACCTGCTGATTACCACACCCTGTAGACCACGGCCAGTGCTCCCTGCTCCCCGACCCCCAAACACCCCAGAGATGGGGGCCTGAGCAAGTAAAAGCCAGTCATGACTCCGCCTCAACCTAGGCCTGTTTGCTGGCCTTCAGTGCTATCCCTTGGGCAAGGCAGGCTTAGCAGCTAAGGGAGGCTAGGGGTCACAAGGCCATGCAGCATGAGGCTGAGACGCCGGGCTGCTTTGCCAAGTGAGTTGTGTGGCTCAGCCTGCAGGAACTGAAAAAGCTTTTGGCGCACCTGGGCCATAACAGAGCCCATGTGGTCCCGAGTGATGGGGTCACTGTGGTCCAGGTGCATCACGGCCTCTTCCAGGTAGCTGGGGATAGCGGGGAAAGAACAGGCTACAGGTGGGTGCCAGCAGATGGGAGCGCCCCCTGGTGGCACCGACACCCAGAGGGAACCCTTGGAGTGAGGGCAAAGGGGACTGGTGAAGAAAATTAGGGAGGAGATTCAGGCAGAAGTGGGCATCAGCTTCAAACTGCTCCCTCCCATGACCCCACTCCACAGCTCATCTCCCTGTCCCTGACTGCCCACTTACCTGAGCTTGAGGTCAGTTCGAGTGCCAAGGTCAGATGCCAGCTGCTGGATGAGGGAAAGGAGCACAGGCTGGGAGAGTGGGCAGGGTGGCTGCCCAAAAACCTGGGCTGGGTCCACAGTTTCACACACATACAGCACTAGGCTCAGGTCAGCAGCTGTTAGGGCCTGGAGGAGAAAAAAACAGCAGCATTTACAGTGAACATCAGAATGAAATGTCTGCTTGTCTGAACTGTGTGGCCTGGGGGCAGATAACCACAGGGTAGGCTAGTGAGAGCTCTCCAGAGAGAGCCCTGTAGGGCCATGTAGTTATCCTAGGGGATCAAGAAATGGTTCCTGAGAAGGGTAGTTGTAAAGCAAGGTGGTCTAGGTGGGAAGAAAGGGGTCCAGAAGGTACAAAGCCTGGTGGGTGGAGTGGAATGTATGGTGTGTGGGCCTTGTCAAGAGACACATGACCCTTACCAGGGCCTAACACCTATCGTACCTGCTGGAAGGCCTGATTGAGGTGGCCCTGCTGCAGCAGCTGGAGGATATGGGCTTGCTGGGCCTGGCAGTCAAGGTGGGCAGAGGGGACAGGTGTGCCAGCAGCTGAACGCATGGCCTGCATGATGCTGGAGGTGACAGCAGCCTGCTGCTCCTTGAGCGCCACACTCACCTCACCCTTAACAATGCGTTGTACCTGTGCTAAAATGGATTCCTGCAAGCTGCAAAGGTAAGTGAGTGAGGTGAAGTGGACAGGGAGCCCAATCTGGCCTTCCTCAAACCCACCACCCTGCCCACACACCTGCCCACAGCCACGTGCAGCTGGTGCTGCACCTCAGCCCGAACACTGCTGGCCACAGTGGCTGCCATCTGCTCGGTGGCACTCTGCAATGTGCTGACCAGGCCCCGCAGCTGGGCCAGCACAGGCTCCCTGGCCTCCTGTTCTCGTGCCTTCCGGCTCTTCATGTGGCTTTCTAGCTGCTGCAAGTCTGAGGAGTGACCACAGGGAGTGTAAGAGGAACAGTAGGAAAGTGGAGGATAGTCGTTCCCACCTTGGGTCATACGACCCCACTCACATTCCTGTGTCCCCACCCGGAAGCTATCATTGATTTGCTGGAACATGGCCTGGCAGCTCTTCTCAAAGGCTGGCAGCACCACACTCTGGAAGGCTTCTCGGTAGGCAGCCTGCATTGGCCCCTGTAATGTGTCTGCAGCTGCTCGGGCAATAGCATCAGTCAAGTTCTGGAATTAGAGGGAGGGGCCAAGTTGAAAGCCTGAGCGCAGCCTGGCCTGACTAGGCCAGAACCACCACCACCACCCACATCTTGGGCCCTATAGCACCTTGGACTTGAGCAGCTTAGAGATGTTCTCTTTCATGCTGCCCTCCACAGCTGTGAGCTTGGTGGCTACTGAGTTGCTCAGTTGGCCTGCCACAGGCTCCAGACTCCTTGAGACACCTGGGAGAGGGGAATAGGAGAAGGTGGAGCTAGGAGAAACTTGACAGGTACCCCTATTCCCACCTGAACCACCCAAAGGGAGTCTGTATGCAAAACTCACATGGAGGGACTGTCTTCTTGATCTCATCCCGTAAGCTGCGCTCCAGCCGCCCAGCTACAGCTGAAGACAGTGCCTGGGACAACTGTTGTGTCAGCTGCTCCTGCAGCTGCCCTCCCCGCTGCTGCCCCTCAGCCAGTGCTCGCTCCAGCCGCCGCTCTGCACCATAGCTAAGGAACAGGCCTGGAGCAGGTTGTGTACTCCTTCCCAGGCCAAGAATGTTGCCCCCATCCCTATGCCATGTTGTGCTATCAGCCTCAAGGATACGCTCCTGCTCATGCCGAGTCTCAAGGGCTCGTTCTACGTGGCCTGTGACAGTGTTCTGCAGACCTTCGAGCTGGGTACACAGACGCTGCAGCAGCTCTTCTTGGCTGTGCTGCAGCTCTGCCAGCTCTCTCTGCTGTTGCCAAATTAGCGTTGGCCAGTCCTCAGGGGGCTCTGCCACCTGCCAGTATCACTGAGAGTCACATGATGCCTGCCCCACCCATCCCCACAAACCAGACCAGGGAATGGCCCAGAGCCCTTCCCCATCCTCACAGGGTGAAATTCCCATGAGTACAAAGAGCACTCATTTACTTACCTGGTGCTCTGTGAGCCGGGATCCCATGGCCGCATCCCTGCCATAGGCGAGAAGCACCTCAGGCTAGGTCAGGCAGCCTGGAGACCATCCTCCCCCCTCCCTAGGACTCCTCCCTACCCATCATCCTTCTTGCTTTTCCTCTTGAGCTTGGGTGAGGCTCGAGGGGATCCCTTGGTCTTCCAGTCCTTGGCAGGCAGCCGTGGAGCAGGAACTTTGGTGCCAAAGCCTCCTGAAGCAGAGGCAAGGCTGGCCACCTCATCGTCGTGATCACTATGGGAAGGGGAAGGAGGGGTAAGCCCTTGCCCACTTGCTGCCCACCCCCCCATGAGGGCAATGGCATAGGGTGGCATCCACCTTTGCTCAGCACTGGCATCCTGGCTGTCACGTTGCTGCAGCAGGTGATACGGTGGTCGGTGGAAGGACAGGCTCTTGTGCTTTTCCTGAAGGCCATTCCTGGGGCTGGGGGACAGGCTGACTCAGCAGTGGATGATTCTATCTGAAGCCCCTCCTAAAGCCTCCTCCTAGCTAGCACACTTTTCTCCTCCCAAGCTCCTCACCTTTCTGCAAGAGTGCTACAGGTCTCACGAGTAATGTCAGGTGCCGTGGGCCAAACCTGACCATCAGGGGTCGAGGTTTCCTGGGTCAAGGCTGCCTCCAGGAGGGAGGGGGTATTATGCCGATCTCCATCCCCAGGGCCTCCATCAAGGCCAAGCTGGGGGCCGAGCTCAGGCCCTGGCCGGGGCCGTGGGGACAGTAGGTGCAATGCTGAGGCGGCTGAAGCCATACTGTCTGGCTCAAGGCCCTCTGGTGCAGAGGAGCCAAAGCCACGGGACAGGGCCTCAGACGCAATCTCAGGGATGTCCTGGGACAGGGCAGTGGAAGCTGAAGAGATGACATCAGGAGAGCGGGTACGGCTGGGGGAGGCTTGGGGTAGCCCCAGGGGCTCGACTTCCTGCAGCTCCAAGGACAGTGCAGAGGCAGCAGTAGGCACCTAAGGCGGGCCAAAGATGGGGGCTTAAGTGACAGGTGAGGCAGGGATGGGGGACACAGAGACGAGGCACTAGTATTAGTAATGAGAGACAGGGCAGCAGGGAAGTGGGGACAGTCAAAAACGGGGCCATAGCCCAGAAGAGAAAGTGGGGACAGGGAGGCTGAGGAGAAACCTTCCAGGAAACATAGGAGGGTGAGATGACCTCAGGAAAACATGGACTACGTAGGGAAGAGCAGGACCAGCAGCAGGGGGCTGGGAGAAGCCCACCACCCACCTTTCCTGCTGCCACCCACCTACTCCCCACACTTTACACACACCCATTCACATACCTGGCCTGGCCCCTTGGGAGTCAGTTTGTCAGCTGGGGCTGGGAGTAGGCTGGGCAGGAGGCCACGAGGGCTTGCCTGCAGGCTGCCACTGTTGCTCATTGCCAGGCTGCCATCCAGCTGTAGTTTGGGGCTCAAGGTCAGCTCCTCAGGTGGCCTGGTGGGGGAAGACTGAGGTGTCAGCAGCCAGAGCTTGGTGTCACCTGGCACAAGTCCCTGCCATCCTCCATCTCTGACCCTTGCCTCACCTGACCAAGGAGGGGTCCACAGCTGAGGTGCTGCTCATGGCAGACACAGCTGTAAGGGAGCTGCTGCTACTGCTGCTGCTGCTGCTGCTGCTGCTACCACTGCTGCTGCTGCTGGGACAGGCAGTGATCTGGGGAGATGCAGGGAATGAGAGCTGTGGCTGGGGCATTCCCAGGTCCCCCTACCTTGGGAGAGTACCTGCTGCAGAGAGGCGCTAGGTGTCATGAAGGCATCAGGTGTCATCAACTTGGGCTTGGTCTCACTACTCAGACTGAGGAAGTCGGCGGGTGCAGGCAGCTCCACAATTCGTCGGAGGTCAGGCTGGGAGCCGTGAGCAGCTGACCCCAGGCCCTCAGAGCCCAGTTCAGGCCGAGACTCTCCAAATGCTGTAGGACAAGTTGCCACTTGAGTCAGATCTCAGACCCTGGTCAGTCCAACTTACCCTACCTCCCTCTCACGCCCTACTCACTAAAGTCCTCGTGGGCAGTGTGTGTGGGAAGCGGGGCCACTACATCAGGGTTCAGCTGTGGCTGGAAGCGAATCTGCACATCTTGTAGTGCCCTGCAGGAAGATAAGGAGAATAGAGTGCTCCAAGGGCCAGGGTCAGTAGAGTGGAGACAGACACAGACAATGCACTGGTGGGCCTCCCCAAACACTCACTTAGTATGCACACAAAAGAGCTTGATGAGCACACCGGCCGCAGACTCCATGGCACCGGCTCCATGGGTACCATCTGAAAGAACGGTGTGGATGATTAAGCCCCTGGGCCTCTCTGTGCCTCCACAACCCCTAGGATATGGACACATAGCTCTGACCCTGAGGCAGCTTACCAGCACCCAGGCTGTCATTCTCCTCCTCAGCGGGCAGCACCTCAGTGTGCCGCAGCCGGCAACGACTCACAACCTGGATACCGAAGCTTAGCACAGGGTGGGTGAGCAGGAACTCTGAGATGGAGCTAAAGTAGGCACGGCCCTCCTCCTGGTTCTGTAGCAGCTCCATCACATAGAGGACCTGCACAGGCAGCACATTCCTAACTGAGCTCAGAGGCTAAGGGCTACGGATGTACCCCCTGTCCTCTGCCATGCCCTATAATCCCAGCTCTGCCCAGGGTACCCCATGGTAGCTAACCTTCCGTTGCACATCGCTGAGAATCAGATATTCTGCTGAGAGATCCAAGCAAACCTTGAGGCTAGGGGGCACACTCACTGAGCTAAAGATATCTGGGGAGAAGCTAGGGAGCCACAAAGCAGAGTCAATGAGGCTAAGAACTTCAGGAACCCATATTCCCAATCCTGCTGCCCCTGCCCAGTTCCCCAGCCTCCCAGCCCTTGCTAACCGAATAGTCTGCAAACAGGTCCAGGACACTGTGCACCACATCTTTAGCTCCCGGTTCTGGTCAGCACCAGTAATAAGGAACCTCCAGAAAGGGACACTGCAAGACAACAAGGCACTGAGTGGCTGGCTGGGCCCCTGCTGGGAGCCATGGACCAGCCCACCACCCACTCGGCTGCCCACTCACTCACTCAGGGTCTTGTTTCTTATGGTTGTCACAGAACAGGAGGCAGGAGAGGGGCCGCCCATCATGAGGCTTCCACTCATGCAGACACCTGTAGGTAGGCAGATGAGGGGCTTAAGTGAGCAGTCTCGTCTGCTACCTGAGGGGGATCCTGGTCCCTCAGGCCCTGCCTTACCTTGGCTCATCTTGTCCCTCAATGTAGATCTGCCAGAACTTGACATAGCCATCATGGCTCGCAGTAGCTAGCACAGTCCCATCAGGGGAGAGGGCTCCTTCACTGAGGCACTAGGAAGAACCCAAAAAACTTTACTGACTAGAGGTGAGAACGAGCCCCTCTCAAGTGAGGATGGTAATGAGCTGGGCTGACTGATGGTTGGATGGCATGTTTGTGTGACTGACTGAATGAACAGGCTCCCTAGAGAAGGCCAGACCTGCAGGGTGCTGCTAGGTATGGAGAAAGCTGCACAGGCAAGAGCCACTTTGAGCTCAGAGTCCCCATGGGCAGAGTGCCAGCAAAGCTGTTTGGGCAGCTGTGGATATAGGGAACAGAGGATGGATATGAGGAAGAGGGTAGGGCAGGGGAGGCAGGCAGTCACAGGCTTACCGTGCTATGACCTTTTACCACAATGAAGCCCTGCTTGATCTGGCTGACATCCACAGGCCAGGTGTTGTGGCTAGAGCGGAGCATATCCAGGTCCCACACTTCAGCCTGGAAGGCACAGGGAGATGAATGTGCAGCCCATGCCTATACTATGGCTTCTCTGGCGCCTCCTTACCATGCCAGCCCCCTCACCCGGTCTTCATGCAGCAGGGCCACTGTCGGGCTGCTCTCTTCACAGCAGTCCTCGCTCTCTTCAGGAATGAAGGGACACCAGATGATCCTGCGGAAGTGGTTCAGTGGCGTACCCTCTGGCTGCCGGATATGGACCAAGATCTCTTCTCTGAGCAGGGTGTTAAGGGCTAGATAAGTGAATGAAGAGGCATGACAGCCCCAGCTCCGCCCACCTTTCTTCAGTCCCACTACCCCACACCAAGGAATGGATACTGAATTTTGCCATTAACCAGAGCCAAGCGCCACACAAACAGGTTGCCTGCCTCATCCAGGCAGGCCAGCTGTGGAGAGTTGAGGTGCGCGAAAGCCAGATCAGCCACACTGCCTGTGAAGCCCTTGAGCAAGATCCGCTCCGAAGTGCTGACACTGATCACCCGCACCATGGCGGAGCCATTGTTGGCAGCTAGAATCAGGAGAGCAGTGGACCATGAGTGCATGTCCAGGCGCAGGCAGCAGCAGAGAAACCCTGCCCCTGCCTGTCTCCCTGCCACCACCATAGTCTCAAGCTTGGTTTTCCCACCCAGCTCCCCAAGAGGCAGCATGGACAAACCTTCCATTGTACCCCTAAGGCCTGAGTGGCCTGATGTTGGAGCTGGCTCTATGGGACATCCAGCAGAACATTCCCTCCTCTCCACTGTCCTTACTCACCCCGAATGGCATAGGCCAAGAAGGAGTTAGACACAGCAATCAGGTTGCCATAGTAGTACTTCTGTTCCCAGTCATACTTAGCGACAGGCTGAATTTTCACCTGAGAACCCAGGGTGAGAAAAGTCATGGAAGCTGAGGGCTGGGGTAACTTCCCCAGAACCTAGGTGGTCCCCAACATCCCTGGGGATGGCAGAGGACATAGGTGCAAGTCTGGCTACCCACTGTTACTTCCCAGAGCCAGACTCCCACAGAGGCTCGGCATCCAGCCCGGGTTTCCTGAAACCGGGAAACTGTCAAGGTGGTCCCCATAGGAACTGGCAGTATGAGAGAGACCAGAGAGACTGGGTGTGCCCCCATATATTATATATGCCACAGCATCCTAGTACCTACCTTGTTGCTTCCCCGGGCCTTGCTTGAAATGCTAGAGTCACTGCTAGCCACAATCTCCACCTCCTTAGCCAAAATCCCAATGCAGGTAGAGCTATCATCTCCTGAGAGACAGCTGTGGGGAAGAGTGCAAAAACTTTGTCTCTTGTTCACCCAAAGGCTCAATGGGCAGGTATCTATTCCAATGCTCAGCTTTGCCTGGTCCCTGGCTCCAGACCCATAGAACCCCTTGCTCAGCCCCTTCCTTGGGAATGAGTCTACTTTCATTCTAACCAGATATCCAGGCCAAACCCTTGAGCTTGTCTTTACCTCTCATCGTAGTGCAAGCTCAAGCTCTACCCCAGGTCATCTAGAGAGGGAGCAGCAGAGGCTGGTGGCTCCATTCACCCATCTCATGCCTTTAGCTAGCAGACACCCGAAACATACCATCACCACCACTGTCGTCTCCTAGATACTCACATGACTTGCTTCTCTTGCAGGCTAATGGGTGGCATGGTCCGAAGACCAGTCTTGTTTGTTGAGGTACCATCACCTGAGCAGAGGGGGTCTGGGACCAGAAGCCCATTGAGGTCCCCATTGTAGGCACTGGATGGCCGTGGGCTCTCTGTACTGGGGCCTGGGGACAGAGAAGGTCACTCTGATAAGGTTGCTCGACCTGCCCACAAACCTCTCCTCTTGCAGTTTCCCTCCAGAGCTATGAGGTGCTCTAGGAACACTCAACTGAGCAAAGCATGTCCGTGAGGAGGGGGGGCCCTGTATTCAACTCTCATTCCATAAACACTGATGTATGCGGGACCAAGGATGAGCACGAGGCTATCCTACCTGGGGGAGGGGTACAAGCCATCAAAGACCCTTTGAGGCCAGTTCATACTTAGGCCCGGGTCAGTACAGAATAACTGTGGACTCTGAGTGAGCGCACAGCAAGGGTCAGGAAAGACTTCACAGAGCAGTCAGTGTGGCCAGAACACACAAACACAGCAAGGATGGAGGGAAAACAAAGCTGCAGAGGCCTCAGGTATGATGCTGTGGCACTTAGACTTTGCCTGTGGGCCATGAGAACCACAAAGAGTTTCAAAGGGAAAGGTGATGTGGTCAGCTCTGGCCAGTGGGATGATTATTCTAGGGTAGCATGCAGAATGGTTGAGAATCTAGGTGAGAAAGATCAAGGCCTAGACCAAGGTAGTGTCAGGGTCTGGAGAGAAGATGGACTCCTAAGGCATGTGAGGGGCTGCCCCATACAGAAATGGCTCAGGAGAAGCTAGTTTTAGTAAGAAAACTCAGGAGGTAGGGACATAAAGGAGCTAGACCAAAAGGAGAGAAACTATAGGGCAGAGTGTGGCATCAGAAAAGGCAGCATTTCAGTTCTTTGCAACTGGCTGGGTTTCAAACAGGCTCATAGGCTTAGACACCATTTCCAAACCGCCCCCCTAGGTGGCAAGAGCCTAGGGCTCCACATTCAGGAACACAGAAAGTTTCCAGTCTTTTAGTTCTTTTGTTTTTTTTTTCCAACTGAGTCTTGCTTTGTCACCCAGGCTGGAATGCAGTGGCGCGATCTTGGCTCACTGTAACCTCCACCTCCTGGATTCAAGCGATTCTCCTGTATCAGCCTCCCAAGTAGGTGGGATTACAGCTCAAGTAATTTTTATATTTGTAGTAGAAACAAGGTTTTACCATGTTGGCCAGGCTAGTCTTGAACCCCTGGGCTCAAGCAACCCACCCACCTCAGCCTCCCAAAGTGCTGGGATTATAGGCGTGAGGCACTGCACCTGGCCCTCAACAGTCTGCATTCGGACCTGGTCCCCCAGTGAGAGGAGACAAGAAAGAGCTCCTTGGAAAACAAGGGAATCAAGTGCCAGTCAATAAACAAAGGAGTTATAAGGAAAGTGTCTAGGCCACTTCATTCGGATCAGAGCCACTTTAGCTGCTCAGGGACAAGCTGACCACTCTCCCTTTCATGAAGGCTACCAGGAGGACAACCAAAAACAAGGCCCAGGCTGTACATGTGTGGCCATGCCAGGCTCTACCAAATCTCTGTGGAGTCTAGTCTGCAACTGCTGAGCAGCAGGAGAGGTCCACACCTACTCATGAGTAAAGAAGGCACACATTCCAGGCCTGGGGCAAAGGGCCCAGTGGTCTCAGGCAGCAGACGGATTTTCTGAGTGGACATTAGTTGAATCCACCCTTAGTGAGCACCAGTGCCTTCCAGAAGCAGCCAGTCTGGGCCTCCAAGCAGGTATAAGAACAAGATCTGAGGAAACACCAATTCTCCACTGCACACCCACACCACCATCACCAGCCACTTCAGAGATTCCCAAACCTATCAGTAAACTGGTGTCTGCATACGTGCTATTTCCTCTTTGTAATAGGTGGCTTCTACATAGGTGCCTTGAGTGCCTTTCCTGACATCCAAGCCCTTGTTCACATTACAAGACCTAGCCCAGTCTCCTCTCTCAGACCTGCACACTGCATTCATCAGCCTCCACCCTTCCCATGCCCATCACAGTATCAAGACACTCCTTTCTTTCAATGACAACAGTATATTACAACCCTGTTAGCTCTCTGTGTCTTGGGGGATCTTTGGGAGCTAGACACAGGGATACCTAGTTCTTAGGTATCACTAAGAGCTAAAGCGAAACACGAATGAAGGTAAACCAATTAGGGCTTGCAGATATTTGTAGCCTAATTCAGTCAGGGTGTTGCGGTCTGTGATTTGCCTTCATCCCAGAAAGAACATGGAACTGAGGCTGGACACCTTCCTCCTGGAAATCAGTTTCAGAACGGGAGGCCTGGAGTCTATTCCAGAGGGAAGGGCAAGTTATGGAGGGGGACTGGCGGCTCTTCAGCACCGCGATTAAGCCTAGGCCCAGAATTCCATATACGGAGCCCAGACAAGGCCTCTGAACCATCGCGAAAGCGAAGAGACGCCAGGCCGGTCCCAGGAACACTAGAGACCTCGGGGCCAGGAAACCAGAGGGGCCCAGCTGATTCAGAAAAGGGGCCTCACCTTCAACTGACATGCTGAAGGACGAGGCAGAACAGCTTGAGGAAAGGATAGGGAGGGGTCACACCCAAGGGTCTGCGCCCTTCCAAGGGGGCAGTGAAGAAACTCCGAACTCCGTCCACCCTTACCCGCTGAGAGGATACAGAGCTGGTCCTAAAGGAGCTGTGGGCTCCGAGGGCGGTTCAGAGGCTCGCCGCCCTTTTGTCAGCTCGTCTGGGGCCCACCCCCGCAACCCTCGCTCACCGCCCGCGGGCCGGTCCAGCTTGAGGATATCCCGCAGGTGCTGCGTGGCGTCCTCGATGTCGATGCTCGCGCAGGAGGCCATGGGCCCAGCGGCGGGCGCCCCGCCCGCACCGCGTTCGTTCCGCCGCCGCCGCGCACCACCCACCCTCGCCCAGCCGCGACAGGGCGAGACAGCCGGACACGGGTCGCTACACTCAGTCCACTCTCAGTTCTCAAACCGCCGCCCGCGCAGCGTCCCTCAGCACCGCCACCCCCACCAACCGCCTCCACTTCCGGCCCCCACAAGCCGAGGCTCCCGGAATCTGCCAGGGTCAGAGAAGAAAGGTTCCGGGCTGGGGGCGGACGCCTAAACCCCTCCCGCAGTCCGTCCCCATCTGCGGCCCCGCCCCTGAACCCGAGGGGTCAGGGAAGTTCCACAGGACTGAGGTAAGCGTCCACGCATTGGGCCACCCAGAGCCCTACTCTACTCAGAAGCCGCCCGGTCCCTGCCCACTCTCAGAGCGTGGACTCTGATGGTCCTAGGATGGGGTCAACTCAGCCGCCCGTGCTAAGGTCCCTGACTCCCAGAATAAGCTGAATTGGCAGGAGCCTCAGGTTCCCTTGGGGAATGGGTCGTAATAACTCAAGGCCCGAGGCGACCGTCGAGGCCATAAAACCCAGGAATTGCAAGAGTAGGGGAGATGGTCCCACCACAATAATCATTGTTCCCTACTGTCCCCCAGCACCCTCTTGTCCCACCTGGCACCCTCCGGTTGGAAGAATGAAACCACAGTTTACAAATTCCTCTTTATTGCAGACAGTTCAGGCACAGGTACATGGAAGAAGCTGTATTGCAGATTTTATACAGGGTGGTTTGAGGCAGCAAGTACCTACCTCTTCCCCACCCCTACTTCCCCAAATACACACCAGCCTAGAGATCATTCCCTGAAATCTCCTGAGCACCATCCAACCCTGTGCCCAGTGTCACCAGGCAAACTTTGGGATTTGAGGAGGTCCTTAGCCTCCACCCATAGTGGAAGAGGGGAAGGGTATCCTTTTACAGGTCAGATTTAGCTGTGGTATTCTTACCAATCCTAAAACCCCTAACGGCACTGACCCAAATCCTGGGTTTGGTTCTAGCCTATGGTTGCTACATTGCCACTCGGTTTATACCATCCAGAGGTCTGTGGGCTGAGGGGCCAGGTTCATACTGGGCAAGGCCTTTGTCCCCAAAACAGAGAAACAGAACTGCCCTAATAGCTAAGACTTCCTGGGATTTGAAGATAGCATGAAGTCTCTATGCTGAGGAAGGAAGTGAGAGAGGCCTGCAATGTCCTGCAGAGGTCTGAGTGTTGAGGATCCCTAAAGCATGAGTCTCTCACACTCAGATTGCCTCCTTCCACAGCTCCTGACCTATACTACAACCCAACTGGGCCTGGCTCTGTGGGCAGTGGAGGCTGGCTCTGCTGGGTACTGGCCTTTGTGTAATGATATCCAAAGCAGGTGGGATAGGAGCTGAGCTGCCTCTGCCTGGCTTGGTGTATGTGAGGCAACCTGGATATGATCCTGATCCTCCTGGGGATATAGCAGGCCTCTCCCTTTATATTGCTGAGACCTCAACCTGGAGGGCCTCTCCAGCTTCAACAGGATTCAGGATCATCTCTCCTGCTGCTAGAGCCCTGAACCTACCCAGAGCAGAAGTCACAGGAGGTATCAGAACTGACTGCACAGGCTTCAGTGCAAGAAGCTTCAGGCCAGAACTGAGCTCTCCCTGCCTGCTTTCCTGGGACCAGTTGCCCTGCGGGGTGGGAGGAACTGCCCTGCAGGGCTTCTGAGAGGCTAGCTGGGAGTGCTGCTTCAGCAATTTCTCCCTGCAACAGATATTCAGAGTTGGGGCAGAAGTGAGACATGAGAGACAATGGGTCAAGGTGGCTTTTGATGCCCAGCCAACTAGTAAACTAATTAAAACAATTTAAACTGTTAAGAAAATTTTTGTGGTTTTATTGTATCATGAGGCATTGAAACATCTGAACAAATCAACTTCTGGGCGGTGAGGCAGCTGCTTTCTCCTTCACGTCTTTGGGTTACTAGAGCAACTTGTCAGTAGATTAAAAAAAAAAAAAAGGACAACCTTTTGCATTACTTAAGTCTTTCCAAGGCATGCGCTGGTACAACACAAACTTCTCCCGTCAGATGCAACTAGTCTAGCGTCCAAACATCATGCACAACACCTTGGTGGCAGCAGCGCACTGCGCCCACTCCCGCCGCAGCCCTGCTCATTTGTGCATGATATTTGGAGCATCTGGAGGAGTGGTAATAGTACTGGGAAGAGGAGGGAGGAGGAAACAGCGTGAGTGCCTGGCTGAGAGAAGGTCAGCCGAAGTTGTGCAGGGCGAGCCTGAACATGTCATTGGTGCAAACCCAAGCATCGTTGATGTTCTTTAATAGGAACATCTGGTGGAACCCCATGATGGGGTCTTCATCCGCCTGTGAGGAGAGGAGAGAAGAGGATTCAATAAGGGAATCAAGAAACAGTAAGAGAGTTCAGTAGTAGGGGAACAGAGCAAAACAATGTGGACTTTGGGATCAGGCCCTACTGTCCCGAACTCAAATCCCAGTATAGCCAAGGGGTACTTGTGCATATGAATTGATATAATGTACAAAGCAATGCCCTGGGCACATGAAGGCCAACAGTCAGCTACACCTACTGCTATGTGTGCTTAAACTACACAATAATTCACCCTTAGCTATAGCAAAGAGCAGAGGATGCATATGCCTCCAAGCACGTATCTCTGGGCACAAGTGATCACAATTCTGAAATGAATCCCATAGTATTTACTAAATAAGAACTGCAAACAATCTTGGAAACATAGGTTCACCATCCAATGATGTTTCCTGTCATGTAATAAACAGTATTTTCTTTTTTTTTCCAGACAGTTTCGCTGTTGTTACCCAGACTGGAGTGCAATGGCACGATCTCGGCTCACCGCAACCTCCGCCTCCTGGGTTCAAGCAATTCTCCTGCCTCAGCCTCCCAAGTAGCTGGGGCTACAGACGCACACCACCATACCCAGCTAATTTTTGTATTTTTAGTAGAGATGGGGTTTCACCTTGTTGACCAGGATGGTCTGGATCTCTTGACCTCATGATCCACCTGCCTCGTCTCCCAAAGTGCTGGGATTATAGGCGTGAGCCACCGTGCCCGGCCAGTATTCTCAATGAAAAAAAAAAAAAAAAAAAAAAAAGGCAAGAAACCTGAAGCTAAACTGCAGAAATCCAGAATGAAGCCTAGTTGAAACAGGCCTAGCTAACCAGCACTAACTCTAACATCACCTGCTTTCTGGGAGTTATCCTTAGAAAGGAAACAAATCAGTTGTTTCGGAGCTCCGATTTGGAGAGAATCACCAGAAAGAAACTGAAGCCAGGTGGAAAGAAGCAGTGCTTACTACCCCAGCCTGAGAAAGTAGGTGCTGAGCTCCCTATAGAGACCTCCTGAATTCTGTGACTGTTCAGACACAGGCTCTGAGCAGGACATCTTGGACAGGCAGGAGAAACTGAAACGAAAGTCCAGGCCAGAAGGCAGGTGTCTCTGCATCCACTGCAGAGGCCTACAGTACCACCTACACACCCATTCTGGACTCAGGAAGCCCTGCCCCAGCTAGCCTAGAGAGAGTGAGCATGTGACCATGTTATCATGAGATACAAGTCCAGGCCGAGGGGCAGCCAATTTGTCCTGCTTTTTTTTGGAAAGAAGGAGCTTGTTGAAAACAGAATCTGGCTTTAATATGCTGAAACACAACAGGTTTAGCTTGGAGAGTTCTTGGGGGATCTGAGAGACCACAGGAAGTCTTTGAGAATAACAGGATTTGAGAAGGGAAAAGGAAAATGCAAAGATAAACAGGAGTTCCAGGTCGGGCATGGTGGCTCACACCTATAATCCCAGCACTTCAGGAGGCCAAGGCACGTGGATCACCTGAGGTCAGAAGTTCAAGACCAGCCTGCCCAACACTGTGAAACCACCTCTACTAAAAATACAAAAAATTGGGGGGCGGGGGAAAAAGAAAAAAAATAAAAAATAAAAAATTAATAAAATAGAGAAAAAAATAAGTTTTTTTTTTTTTTTTGAGACGGAGTTTCGCTCGTTACCCAGGCTGGAGTGCAATGGCGCAACCTTGGCTCACCGCAACCTCCGCCTCCTGGGTTCAGGCAATTCTCCTGCCTCAGCCTCCTGAGTAGGTGGGATTACAGGCACATGCCACCATGCCCAGCTAATTTTTTTTGCATTTTTAGTAGAGACGGGGTTTCACCATGTTGACCAGGATGGTCTCGATCTCTTGACCTCATGATCCACCCACCTCAGCCTCCCAAAGTGCTGGGATTACAGGCTTGAGCCACCGCGCCCAGCGATTTTTTTTTTTTTTTTTTTGAGACAGTCTTGCTCTGTTGCCAGGAGCCAGGCTGGAGTACAGTGGCACAATCTCGGCTCACTGCAACCTCCGTCTCCCGGCTTCAAGCAATTCTCCTGCCTCAGCCTCCCGAGTAGCTGGGACTACAGGTGCACGCCACCACACCCGGCTAATTTTTTGTATTTAGCAGAGACAGGGTTTCACCATGTTGGCCAGGATGGTCTCGATCTCTTGACCTGGTGATCCACCTGCCTCGGCCTCCCAAAGTGCTGGGACTACAGGCTTGAGCCACCGCACCCGGCCAAAAAATAAGATTTTTAAAAAATAAAAAAATAAAACCAATTAGCCAGGTGTGGTGGCAAGCGCCTGTAACCCTAGCTACGCGGGAGGCTGAGGCAGGAGAATCACATGAACTTGGGAGGCGGAGGTTTCGGTGAGCTGAGATTGCACCATTGCACTCTAGCCTGGGCAACAAGAGCAAGACTCCATCTCAAAAAAAAAGAAAACTAGGAGTTCCAGGAATCTGCTTTGCTCAGCAGGTGAGGAGCCAGCAGCCAACCTGAGGAGTGGCAGCAAGGGCTGCAGTAGGGGACTGCCTCTCAGCATCCGGCTGGCCTGTCCACTTTGACCTTGGGGCAGAGTAGGAGCCTAGTGGATTGGTATCCCAGTCCCATCCTGCTCCTATACCTCTCTCTCCCTTTTCCAGATAACAGCTCTAGACCAATGTCTGCCAATAGGATGTTCTCCAATCACAAAAATGATCTATATGGCTAGTACAACTAAAGAAGTATGTTTTAATTTTATTTAGTCTTGATTAATGTAACTTAAAAATTGCAACCTACATGTGGCTAATGCCTAGTGTATTGAACTACGCAGCTCTAGACAGTCATTTTGTCTGGATATCCCTAGATAAACAGGTCACATCCACAGGTAAAGCAGGGGCACAAGGCTCTCCCTCTGCAGCAGCACCATTACCTTAAGCTGGCCCACAACCATGCTGATGATGCAGCTATCTGGCGTGGGCTGATGGTCCTGCGCCGTGATGCTGTGCTGGATTTTCTGGAATGGAAGGCTCTGCAAGACAGAGAGTAGGAGGTGGGACAACCAAGGCCAGGAATGGGAAAAGAGCCACCTGCACCCTGGCTTTTGCCCCTACTTACAGACAACTTCTCCACAATGGCAGCTTTCCCCTGGAACTGTTGTCCTTCCCACGTAAGGCATGACGCGTCAATCTGAAAAACGCACAGGAAACCCTGGGATTGGGCCCTAAGAGCACAAGTAACTCCAAGGCCCTGGAAAGACTACGAAAAGGGCCTTGCTTGGAGAAATGTGGCCACACTTCAGTTTGACTGTCTGTAAAGAGGGGAACTGAGTATAGTTGCCAAATTTATACTATCAGCCTCTTCAATTATACCCCATTGTCACATGGGTCTAAGCTCTGAAAGACTATTTAATAAAATATACTTCCTATTTGTATTTAAAAAGTTATATGGGGGTGGGCGTGGTGGCTCTTGCCTGTAATCCCAGCACTTTGGGAGGCTGAGGTGGGCAGATCACCGGGTCAGGAGATTGAGACTATCCTGGCCAACTTGGTGAAACCCCGTCTCTACTAAAAATACAAAAATTAGCCAGGTGTTGTGGCACAAGCCTGTAGTCCCAGCTACTCAGGAGGCTGAGGCAGAAGAATTGCTTGAACCGGGGAGGCATTGGTCGCAGTGAGCCGAGATCACGCCACTGCACTCCAGCCTAGGCAACAGAGTGAGACTCCGTCTCAAAAAAAAAAAAAAAAAGTCGTATGTATAGGCCCCAGGGGGGCTATATGTGGCCTGAGCTCAGCCATCCTGCTGTGTGGTCAGTGTTGGTCCCAAAAAAGTCATCAGAAATATGGCCAGGCATGGTGGCTCACGCCTGTAATCCCAGCACTTAGGGAGGCTGGGGCTGGGGGAATCACCTGAGGTCAGGAGTTCCATACCAGCCTGACCAACATGGTGAAACTTTGTCTCTAATAAAAATACAAAAATTAGGCAGGCATGATAGTGCATGCCTGTAATCCCAGCTACTCAGAAGGCTGAGGCAAGAGAATCACTTTAACCCAGGAGGTGGAGGTTGCAGTGAGCTGAGATTACGGCAATGCATTCCAGCCTGGGTGACAGAGCAAGACTGTCTCAAGAATAAATAAATACATAAATAAGAAAGACTAGCAGGGTGCGGTGGCTCACGCCTGTAATCTCAACACTTCAGGAGGCTGAGGCAGGCGGATCATGAGGTCAGAAGTTGAAGACTAGCCCGACCAACATGTTGAAACCCCATCTCTGCTAAAAAATACAAAAAAGCATGGTGGCATGCGCCTGTAATCCCAGCTACTCAGGAGGCTGAGGGAGGAGAATCACTCGAACCTGGGAGGTGGAAGTTGCAGTGAGCCAAGATCATGCCACTGCACTCCAGCCTGGGTGACAGAGCAAGACTCTGTCTCAAAAATAAATAAATAAATAAATAAATAAATAAATAAATAAATAAATAAATAAATAAAAGTAATCAGAAATAACTTGGAAAAATTTCACATTCATCACCCTCCAGGGCCCAAGCTGAGTTCCACTGTGGCCTTTCTAGCTAGCCTTCTGGATAACCATGGGGTCACGGAGAGATGGAGGCTAAAAAGGCCTCCCAAGGCCTAGTTTGGGACCCTCCCTACCATCAAGAAGCAAAATCTCACATGTAACCCACTAGCTTAGTTCCCCCTCAAATCTTCCCTTCCACAGCTTTCAAGGGCAGAACTCAAAAGGGCCTCCACTACTTACTAGCTGTGACATTAAGTAAGTTATTGCTCTGATTCTCAGTTTCCTAACTTTCAAAGGAGTAATGTGCTATTACGAAATAATAAATATAAATTGTTCTTTTTTTTTTTTGAGACTGAGTTTCGCTCTTGTTATCCAGGCTGGAGTGCAATGGCGTGATCTCAGCTCACCGCAACCTCCGCCTCCTGGGTTCAGGCAATTCTCCTGCCTCAGCCTCCTAAGTAGCTGGGACTACAGGTGCATGCCACCATGCCCAGCTAATTTTTGTATTTTTAGTAGAGACGGGGTTTCACCATGTTGACCAGGATGGTCTCGCTCTCTTGACCTCGTGATCCACCTGTCTCGGCCTCCCAAAGTGCTGGGATTTATAGGCGTGAGCCACCACACCCGGCCAATATAAATTGTTCTTTTAGGACTTGGTTAACTCTCTTCTGTGGCTCAGGCCTGCTTTAAGAGATAATGAGGCCAGGTGTGGTGGCTCATGCCTGTAATCAGAGCACTTTGGGAGGCCGAGGCAGGCAGATTGCTTGAGGTCAGGAGTTCCACATCAGCCTGAGCAACATGGTGAAACTCCAGCTCTACTAAAAATATAAAAATTAGCCGGTGTGGTGGTGTGCAACTGTAACCCCAGGTACTTGAAAGGCTGAGGCATGAGAATCACTTGGGAGAACCTGGGAGGTGGGAGCCAAAATCAGAAGAATGCACTCTAGCCTGGGTGACAGAGACAGACTTTGTCTCAAAAAAAAAAAAAAAAAAGAGAGAGAGAGAGAATGAGGCAGAAGTCCCAGGATCTCAGCTCAGATCACTTCAAGTTTTTAAAAACTCCAGGCTGGGTGCGGTGGCTCACACCTGTAATCCCAGCACTTTGGGAGACCAAGGCAGGCAGATCACCTGAGGTCAGGAGTTGGAGACCAGCCTGGCCAACATGGTGAAATGTCACCTCTAGTAAAAATACAAAAATTAGTCAGGCGTAGCCAGGTGTGGTGGCTCATGCCTGTAATCCCAGCTTTTAGAGGGATCTGTAATCCTACTTTGGGAGGTTGAGGCAGGCGAATCACCTGAGATCAGGAATTCAAGACCAGCCTGGCCAACATGATGAAACCCTGTCTCTACTAAAAAATATAAAAATTAGCCAGGCGTGATAGTGTGTGCCAGATACTTGGAAGGCTGAGACAGGAGAATAACTTCAACCCAGGAGGCAGATGTTGCAGTCAGCCAAGCTTGTCCCACTGCACTCCAGCCTGGGTGACAGAGTAAGACTCTGTCTCAAAAAAAAAAAAAAAGAAGAAGAAAAAGAAAAAGTCAGGCATGATGGCAGCACCTGTAGTCTCAGCTACTCCTAAGGCTGAGGAGGCACAAGAATCACTTGAACCTGGGAGGCAGAAGTCGCAGTGAGCGAAGATCACCTCACTGCACTCCAGCCTAGATAACAGAATGAGACTCTGTCTCAAAAAAAAAAAAAAAAAAAATCTCTACTATGATGACAACAATCAAATAATATCTGTGCTGGAATTGGTCTTCCACTAATAAGATTCCTTTATTTTTTCCAAAATTTCTGAAGGGACCCTTACTTTTTGGAGACAGACACAGAAGACTGTGGACACTCAGCCCAATCAGGCTCTGAGACTGTGCCTAGATTACTCCTATCACTCCCATCCTGGGCTCACCTGCCTGATCAATCACATTTTTGCGACTGAATCTCTGGCAAGGTCAAGTACAATTTAGTTCTTGGTGTACATGAACATCATTAAAAGAGCAGCAAAATGCCTGCATAAAAGGTTTGTCAAAGGACATATCAGCCTCCCTGGGCTAACTCCATTTGTTTCCCACGAGCATTCAGGAGCTTTTGGATCCAAAAGGAAGCTGGACCCAGGCCTCCCAAAGAGCTCAGCTTTGCAATGAAGATGCTCATGGCTGCTGCCTCCAGAGGGCACCATAAGCCCTAAACTCTGCCTGTTGCTGCCCAATCCAAAACCACGTGCCATGACGAGCACTAGTCACATGGAATGGCAAGCCCAGAACACCCTGCCCAGTATAGCAGGATTCTCACTCTTGTGGCAGATGAAAGAAAGAAAAGCATATACCAGGTAGTTAGCTGGGCCAGTCCTCAGGCTCCTGTCCCATGGACAAAAGCTCAGATGGAGAGGTGTAGCCAGTCCAAATAGGGCTGCCAGAACTTGTGAACTGGACACGCTGGCCCAACATCCAAATTGATCCCCTGGGGTCCTATTCTGGCCCTAGAGCTGGAAACTTACGTAAATTGCGCCTAGTTGGGTTCTATCATTATCAAATAACTGGTAATAATGTTGAATGAAGCTGGATCCAATCTGCTCCCAAATTGGCTTGTCTCCCATTCTGGAGCGTCACCCGGCCTCACAGAGACCTGCAAGACCAATGAGACAGGGAGGGAAGCATTGGTACCACAAGAGTAGGAGGTGACCAGCCACTGACCCCCACCCCTTGCTGGCCTTCCTGGAGTCCTCTGCTGAGATATGTTCCTTCAGAGAACATGGAGAGGCCCTTGGGAACTGGTAGGACATCACTCTCAAGCCAGACCAGTGCCGAGAGCCCAGAGGTAGACCAGACCCGGCCTTTCCTTTGAGTTCTTGGTTAATGAGACATATAGGTGCCAGAGTTGTGGAGCACACAGGAGGGGTGCTGAGGGTGGGTCTACAACAAAGAAAGGACAGAGCAGGCCCTTCAAAGCCCAATACAGGGAGACACTTTATGGGAGGAAATAACTCCTCCATATCTTTCCATGTAATCCTCTCAACAACCTGCAAGGTCAGAGTTATTGCTTTTCTTCCCACTTTACAGCCCAGAACAACTGCTATCTGTGTGTGTGTACTGTTTTGTATTACAGCCCTCAGGTCCCCAACACTGTCCCAGGGCTATGCTGACAGATGGAGGAAGAACCAGTGAGGGGTGGGAGAAGATTCCCAAGGCCCCTCTTCTGACAAAAACAGCAAGTTACCCCCTTAGTCTCATGGGGACAGTTTACAGCCCAAAGGCCAGGTGATACCTGATCTGGCCCTTTCTAGGATATTTCTTCGTTGATGGGAGTGACTTCTACCCACTTCAGAGCTGGGATGTGAGTTCAAGGATCACAGGGAAAGCTGAGGGTTGTGGGAAGCAGAGATGGAGGCTGTGAGGGGGAAACGTGTCATCTCTTCACATCCTTCATCCCAGCATTGCTTTCACCCCAAGGAGCTCTCTCTGTTGGGTCTCTGAGAGGGAGGGTATATCCCCTCCCAACTAGGAGACCATGGCTGTAAGGATACTAGATGGAAAACTCAAACTCACCGTGCCCGGCCAGTCACCGCCCTTCTTAGGGCCTCAGCCACCTCTACTGTAAGATGGGGATGGCATCCTGACAGCATCAGTGATCGAGAAGCTTCTCTAAGGGAACGTGGTAAAGCCCCTCAGCTTGCCGGGCA